TTGATATTTGAAATGTTTATAGCTTCAGAAATCTGCATTGGGCCTGTCCGTAATTTTCCGAAAAATCTATGGTTAACTCATTTCAGCATTTTTCATTTCACAAGTCATAAGATACTCGCGAAGTCTAAGCTGTAAACCTTGATTTGGTAGAACAATATTCTAAGATTGCAAAACAAATCCTTCGCCATACATCTGGAACAGTATGGTGGGGAACAATCTGTGTAGACAATTTTCACCAGAAAACAAATTTGCATGGTTGACAACTTGACATGAACGTAGAATACTGAATACTACATAGTGCGAAAAGAAAATATAACCTGTACTCGCAGGTTGAATTTCCATTACTTGGGGAAAAGCCAAATAACTACACAAGTAATTGAATTAAAGATTAAATCCGAACCTATGGCAATAACTGAGGTTTCCCAAGAAAAGATAGCCCTGCTCTGGTGGAGCCAAAGTCAAATCAAGAAGAATGCTCCCCCTACAAAGTCAGCTGGACCACCAGAGAAACTGAGATAAATGAAAGAATTTGGTTTACTATACAACAAACTACACACCGATGTATGAATTGAATAGGTAAGCGTGTTACAGGGATTCTACACTGATTTTTTTGTAGCCAACCATGAAATTGGAATAAGGCATTTATTATTTACACTAGGATTGCAATTCCGCTTTGACATCTACTAAGACCAAGCCCTATGACCTATTTACAGGAATTCAGTTCGGAAGCGCACCAGTGTCCTAACTCAGAAAAGATGTCGATCTGTTGATCTCTTTTGTCAAATAAGAGGGCGACTTCGGGGACTGAAGACAGCAGGGGATGTATATATGGCAACCAACAACTGGTGCTACTGACAGTCCTCAGTGCTAGCTGATGTGGAATGACTTATTTGCAAAGTCTTCTTGGGAACTCTGTTCTTGAGGGTCATCAAGAGTTTCTGTCTCTCTCCTTCCACTTCCGCAAACTTAAGGCTTAGTTGAGAGTAGCGGACATGCATTTCTTTCAGCTCAGTCTCCACAGCTGTATGCCTCCCCTTCAGTTCCAGCATGTCTTTGATAAGCTCGTTGATATCTCTGAAGCTTTTGAATATGGCTTCCTCATCATTGTGTTGTTTCAGGAAAGAGCTGAACATCCGAAATGGGAAATATGTCATGCTTTGTCTATTGAAATAATAAAGGAGCTCTTATTATACACTTGAAGAGGTTTTTAGGCTTTGAAACCATGCTTCAAGATGATGTTAAACAATTAGTGAAATGGTCATTGAATCAAGACGTGAGAAGGAATACTGATCTAATCTTCTCACAGAAACATTGCAGCAAAAGACCATATAGCACTCCTATCATTGCAGCAAGTTTTGAGTCCCAGTAATATGTTTCATATTCCCATAAAATCAAGTTTACCCAGCTAGGATTTTCACAATGAAACATTGATGGCCAATTTTTCAATTGACCAGAGAAAGTAAAGCCATAAAACATCAAAATTGTCAAATACGGCTATGCAACCCATCCCCCCCCCCTCCCCCAGTACCAGTAGGGGTTACCTACCTCTGAAAATGGAGGCTTGATTTCTTCTTTGCCTGAAATGCTTCAGCCAGCTCAATTTCTAATGCAAGTACTCTTTCTAATGCATTCCCACTGCCAGAAATTTCATTATATAAAGGGAATATGGTCCCTAATTGTTCATTTACCTGAGGAAAAGGAAGGAAAGTTAATGAAAAGTTTCATTGAAGCACTCATGGAGTGAGAGCAGTATGAGGGGTGGGTGGTGTCAGTACCTTATGTAATTGCAGTAGGTCTCTCTGTAACCCTTGAAAACCTGCCTCAATATGATGCTCCTCATCTTCTGGATTAGGAGCCAAGTTCTCATTCTTCATCTTTTCCAACTGCAAGCAAACAATATGGGTTTAGACTTCATCTCCATCAGAAAATGCTGGTCGATTTAATTTCAGTCAAGACAGATTTCTCTACCTAACAAAGAAAATTATTGTTTCTTCTCCCTTCAAAAACTATCCTGTATTATATGCAGGAAACCTAGAAATAAAATGGTTCAAACAAAACATCTCTTGTTGCCTTCCCAACAACACCAAGCAAGATACCTCTTTCTGTAGGAGATCCATGGTAGATTTTAAGCTTTGGGCTTTGAAATGGTCATTTATGATGACCAAACCCTTCACATTATTTTGAAGCAGGTCCTCTTGGTTTATGATTACTTTCCTTGAAAGTCCAATTACACTTCTTGAGCAATCCTGTTAAGCAGCAACATACATAAATTTTACTGGGGGCAAACTCATGTTATATGAAGAAAGAATGATTAAATCATGTTTCTACATACTTGCAAAGAAGGCAAACAATATAAAGAAAACTACTACAAGGTTTGACTCTCCACAATAATTGGGGTAATACGAAGAAAAAGCAAGTAGGCCTTGATTATAGAAAACATAAGTTGCAAAATTCAAAGGATAGTACTGCTAGCTAGAACTACAAGAATCAAGAAATATGGAAATGAAACAGCTACGATAAGGCTTTTCTATTAGTAATTATTCAACAGGTATAGAGCAGTTAGTTCTATTATTATATCCAACAGATACAGTTGCTAGAAAAATAAACATAAATTTTAACTATCTTTTGTTTTGATAATTGAAAATGATTTCATTAATCAAGAGAAATAAGATTTTACAAGAATCTCTTGGAAAGGCATGGGATGCAGCCTCCCCTAAACATTACAAGAGATCAGAAATAAAATTACAATGCTACCCAAAATAAATGGTCCCTAGTAGGCCCCTGTTTAGCAAGATAATCAACCAAGGCATTTGCCTCCCTACCCACTCACTGATATCTACATGTTATGTGCCTTGTTAAACATTTAACTTTTTTTATGAGATCCCTATAACTCCAAACAACTGAGTCTGGATTTGACAGCCAGCCCACAATCACCTTAGAATTCCCTTCAATTCTCATGAACAATCAAATGCTTATTTCTTTCCCCCTTTTTTTGCTTTTTTTAATAAATCAATAAGTGTTGACTACATTTGTTTTAGCAAAAGTTGACTTAAGTTGATAATTGGATAATGTTGAAATAATTTAGTTATTTGTGTTAGGGTCTGTTTGGCTAGTTAAAGCGTTTTTTTATTTTCTGTTATTGTACTCACTTACAGCAGGGGCACAAGGGTCTTTTCCCTTCTTATTTCTGCCGCCCTATATAATATAATAGAAGCCGGCGCCGCCAGCACTGTTCTATTGCTCCAAACCTTTTCTTCTTTCTTTCTTCCTTCTCCTTTCTCTCTTCTTTCCTTCTCTTCTCTACTTCCTCATATTTCAATCAGATTTATTGCCAAGATATAATTTGTCAATTTTTGGAAGACGGGCATTGTTTTTAGGCAATGCATTTTATACACGTCTGAAGAATGATTTTGTGCTTCAACTTCCCACTGGCTATTATATGCACTTCTATGTCAAAAGACTCAGAAAAAAAAAAAAACAAAAAAAACAAACAAACAAACAAAACAAAACAAAACATTTCCCAATGAGAAGTATAACTTGAGTTACAGGAGAGTAGAGATACAAACCACCAGATTGCTAATATGTGCACTTAAAGTGGGTGTAGCAACCTAGGTACACAGATTGTACACCAAGGGTCAACCAGATTGGTTTAGTCATTATCATCATATTAAATGGTTCAAGAAAATGTCTCCAAACAGGAAAATCACTATCATGTGATTGGATGTTGTTGGCCAGAGGATCTCCCTGGCTGTACTGACAACAGTGGGTCCAACAAGTGCCTCAAAGGTGTTCCAAAGCTCAAAAGTGAGGCTCAACTTGTGAGTTGTACCTCACCTAACTTTTAGATAAATTTTAATGAACTAACCTTGAACTGATATTTGAATAGGTATCTTTAAACAGTTCACCTTATGTAGGACTAGGACTTAAACCAAAGTACAACCTTCATGTTAATAACTTAGTGCTCTAACCAATTGAGATAATAGGATTTCATTCTTTTGGAATTTAGATTGCACATTGCAAGGAGGATGAGTGGTGTTGGAAGTGGAATGGTGAAGGATGTTTCTCAGTGAGATCTATGGCTTCAAATCTGAGCAGATCAGGTCTTCGGATTTTCCTAGCAAGAAAATTTGGAATCCTACCCCTCCCTCGAAAGTGAACTTTCTGATTTGGGCTATGTCTCTGGATAAATGTCTCACTAGAACAAACCTGGATAGAAGGGGACTGCATCTCTTGGATCTGTCTTGTGTTCTTCTAGTTTTCTCATTGGTTGTGCACCTCACTTTGCTCAGGTGTGTGCCATACCTTTTGGCCTTGTGCCTCACCTTCTAGGAATCCATTGTGCTTTAATGATCATTCTACTTTTGAAGGACTGAGCCTGGCAATTCCATATGTGGGCCATGCTCACCAGTTTTCCATATTTCACAGTAATATAGCAGTACAATACTGCTTGGAGATGCTTTAGATGTTCTTTTACTTGTTAAAGAGGAAAAGCAATAAAAGATAAGGTAAATAAATTTAAAATATTAAAAACAGTATATAATTTTAAAGATGCACAAAACCTTTTTTTATAAAGGTGCATAAAACATTTAACCTTCCTCAAGACAAAAAATCAGTTCCTCCAGTCTTTCTGCAAAGTGTCTAAGGCAATTAATCAACCATGAAGCGGTGTTGTAAGACTTGGAACAGACCAGATGGTTGAACTAGTGAACCAATGACATTTCTCTCCAGGTCCCAATTAAATGACCATTTGAACAAGCCTATCATCTGGTTAACTGGTAAAACCAAGATCCAGTGTGAATTCTAGTTTTATGTGCAGTCCAAGTTTGACAACATTTCCAAGGAGCTAAACAAAAAAATGATGCTTTTGAGTAACAGGTTGTTACCTGAACAGATGATGATTCCATATGCTCACAGGAATGATTACTTTCATCATTCAGAACTATGGAAGCATCTTCTACACATTTACAAGGGAACAGACTATCTTGGTCCAAGGATTTAGGGTACTGGTTCCTACTTACATCGTTTGCAGAAACCATGTCTGTCGCATCCCTCCCAACACTTGCAACCAATGCTTCTTGTTGATCCTCTTCTGTAACTTGCTTTGATGTCATGTGCCTCGGATCTCCCAATCGAAAATTTCCTTCTATGGAAGAGAGAAAATTTTCCAGCTGTTCTTTTGTTGAGCTAAGCTCAATAGCGACTCTAGTCCTTTCTTTGTTGCATTCTTGTAAAGAAGCTTCAAGCTTTTCTTTTTCTTCTTTGCAACAGTCAAGGCTTATTAATGAGCATTCCAACTCAGCTTTCATTCTATCATAAGCCTTGACCTTTTCTCGTTTGTCAGACAGTACATCCTGTAACTCAGTCTCCAATTCTAGGATCTTCAGTGACAGCTCTTCGTTTCTTTTCAAGTGAGAGGCTTCACTTTTCTTCCGATTTTCTACCTCATCAAGAGCATCTTGCAATTTCAGCAGCATCTCTTCCCCATACTTTTTGGAAGCATCAAACTGGTTTCTTAGCTCCTGGAGCTCCGATTCACACTGTTCTTTGATAAAAGCAATTCTCAGAGACTCTTGCCCAGCAGTAGAAGAAGATTCTTCAGTTTCTCTCTTTTCACAAGCCTGGAGAGACTCAGCATCAGCCTGGTCTTTGAGTTCCTTCAAATACATTGATAGGTTCTTGAATTCTTCTGTCTTCAAAATCTGTTCAGAGAGCTTGTGAACAAGCTCATTGCACTTGTTCCGTAGCATCATCAGTTCATCACCATATTCCTTGAGCAAGGACATCTGACCATGTTGCTCGTCTAATTTGGCTCTAAGCACTATAACTGCAATTTCCAGTTCACACTTGGAGGTCCTAAGATTATCAATCTCTTCTTCAGAACTTACCAGCATGTGCTTATATTGTTCAACCTCAAGCATATGGCAGTGCTTATCTTCAACAGCCTCCATTTCTGCAGTTGCTGCCTCAGTCTTGTTCTTCTCAAGTTCAATTAACATAGCTTCCTTTTCATCCCTTAGGGTTTTTTTCTCAGCAGCAGAGGCTTCCAGCTCAGATTTCAGTAAATTGACAGTTGTCAACAATCTTGCATTTTCCTCAACAAACTGTGCTTCACTAGCAACACGTCCATTGAGGGCAGTTAGGACATCAAGATGCTTCATAAGGAGTTCTCTATGGCAACCATCCAAAGACAGAAGTTGCTGAACAAGCTCCTGCATCCTAGTCTGGAACTGATTTCTTGTAAAAATGGCCTCGATATTTGCAGCTAATAAATGTTCATGCACTTCTGTCAAGTCAGTTTCCAGATCTCTAATTTGGAGTTGAAGCGATGAAGCATCTTTGTCGGCCTTTCTTAGGCACTCCTCACTGTTCAACAGATTATAGTAGATTCTTGATTTTTCTATTTCCAGATCTGATACTAGTTGCTTGAGTTGGTCCAGTTCAGCTTTCTGTTTATTAAAAGAGAGTAACTGGTCACGGTTCTGATTCAACTGGGATGTAAAATTTGTAACTGTACCCTGTAGCTCTTCTCTGAGGCCTCTCTCAGAGTGTAATTCATCTTTTACACACCTTAAACTTTCTTTTAAGCTACTAAGCTCAACAGCCAGCTTCACAGATTCCTCATTGCTAGACTGTAAAGATAGGATCAAATCTTGGTTTTCTTGTGTATGTTCAGCAATATCCAATTTAGTTCTTTCAAGTTCCTCATTTATGCTTTCCAAGGCTAAGATCCTTTGAAGAAGGCTGTTGTATTCTGTAATAACTTGTTGCAGCTCAGCTTCCATTGTTGTAAACTTTGATAGCAGCTCTCCATTCTGCTCTGCATATTTTTCATTAGCTTCTAAACTAACCATGAACATGTTGGAAATATCTTCAAGTGCTAGCTGAAGCTTCTCTGCATGTGCATTAGACAAGCCTAGTTTAGTCATCATGTCTTGCACATCATCTTCAAGCTTTTGTTTCATGATCAAAATTTCAGATTCTGTGCCACTCCCAAATTCCAGGATCTTGGTTGCAAAATTCTCATTTTCAGTAGCAACATGTTCTATCTGGATTTCCAAATCTGAAAATTTTGACAGTAGTTCTCTGTTCTGCTCTGCATATTTTTCTTCAGCTCCTGAACTAAGCTGGAGTTTATTAGCAATTTCTTCTAGTTCAAGCTGAAGCTTTTCAACATGGCCATTGGACAAATCTAGTTTCATCACTATGTCCTGTAAACCAGATTCGAACTTCTGTTTCATGATCAGAATTTCTGAATCTTTGCAGCCTAGTGAGCCTCGAATGCTGTCTCTCTCTTCTTCTGCATCCTTCTTCTCTTGGCTGAGCTGCAGAATCTTTGTTGCCAGATTCCTGTTTTCAGTAGTACATTGTTCCAGTTGAATTTCCAAATTTGCAATCTTTGATAAGAGTTCATTGCTCTGGTCTGCATATTTTTCTTCAGCCTCCAAACTAATCCCGAGTTTTCGGGTAGCATGATCAAGTTCAACCTGAACCTTTTCCACAAGGGCATTGGATAATTGTAACTTCAGCATCATGTCATGTATTTCAGACTCAAACTTCTGTCTCATAATCAGAATTACTGTGTCTTTGTCGTTCAATGACCCTCGAGCAATGTCTCTTTCTTCCTCTGCAACCTTCTTCTCTTGGATTAGCTGAAGAACCTTTGTTTCAAGACACTGATTTTCAGTTGTGGCATGTTCTAGCCGAGTTTCTAAATTTGCAACCTTTGACATGAGTCCTTTGTTCTGCTCTGAATATTTTTCTTCAGCTTCTGAACTAACCTTGAGTTTGTTGGCAGTATCTTCAAGTTCAAGCTGAAGTTGTTCCACCTGGGCATTGGACAACTGTAGTTTCAACACCATGTCTTGTATGTCAGAATCATACTTCTTTTTCACAACCATAATATCCAACTCTTTACTGGCTAATGACCCTTGAACAATGGTTTTTTCCTCCTCCAAATCTTTCTTCTCTAAACTGAGCTGATGAATATTTGCCACAAGATTCCTGTTTTCAGTAGTAACATGTTCCAGCTGAATTTCCAAATCTGAAATTTTAGATAAGAGTTCTTTGTTATGCTCTGCATATTTTTCTTCAGCTCCTAAACTATCCTTGAGTTTATAATCAAGATCTTCAAGCTGAAGCTGAAGCTTTTCAACATGGAGATTGGACAAATCTAGTTTCTTCACCATGTCTTGTACATCAGATTCAAACTTTTGTCTCATGATCAGGATTTCTGAATCTTTGCTGCATAGTGACTCATGAGCAATGTCTCTTTCTTCCTCCACATGCTTCTTCTCTCGGCTCAGCTGAAGAGTTGTTTCACATGCTTTCTTCTGAAGCTGTTCCAAATGCAAGATGATACTCACAAAATCCTTGTTCTCCAGGTCCTGTTGCAGTGTTTTACCTGGAACAGCCTGTCCATTAATCTGCTCATAGTAAGATAACATGGTTAACATCAAACCTCCCAGTTTATCTTGCAAAGCATTGACAGTTCTCTCTAGACTGTCTCTCTCAGAGGCCTGCTTTTCAAATTTGGATTTGATGGTTTTCAACTCTTCATGCACACAGCCAACTTCATCTTGAAGATAATACTTCTCCAGAGTTTCCTGCTTCAATAAATTTGCAAGTTCTGTTTTTTCCGCAGAACAAGTGATATATTTGTTCTTGTATTCTCTGCATTCCATCATTAGATTTTCAAATTCTGCAGTCTTTTCAGAAAGAAGACAGTTCTCATTGGAAACAGACTCCAATTTTTCTTCCAGGATTTGATTTTGCAATGCCAAGTCATTATACTTAGCAATGCATTTAGATTTGCACTCATTCAATGATTCTACATCATCCAATGCACTCTGTAACCTAAGCATTAGCAATTCCTTTGATTGAGTTGATTGCTCAAGCTGTTGCTCTAATGTATCCATCCTCTCTTCCATGAGTGTAATGCCGCTGCATGCTTCGTGCAATGCTTCTTGCAGAACTTTTGAGTAGACATCCAAATGTATGTTGGCAACATGCATTTCACAAAGTTCAGCTTCAGCCTTCCAATAAAGCTCTTCTTGCAAGTGAAGTGATCTCTTTAAGTCCTTGAAAAGAATCTCTTCACCTAAAAGTTGTTTGTTTAGCTCTAAATTCTGGTTCTGGCACTGTAAAAGTTCAGCAGCACAAGATTCCTGAAAGTCCAGCTTGGTCTCGGGAAATTCAACCTTGGAACAACTGAATGAATCCAAAGTATCTGAGCTTCTCTTTACTTCTGCAATTATATCAGCATTTGACTCCAAACTCTTCCTGTCTGCCAGAACTTTCGGAAGTGGAAGAACCTGACATGAAGCCAATTCTTTCTCCATTTTCTGAGATACATAAGCCACTGCTTGGCTTCCTTGCACACTTATTTTGTACTTCTCTAAGGCATTGTCTTGGTCCACTGTCTTCAAGACCTCCTCAAAACATGGTTGTGAAGATTCTGCAAAAGCTTGACTAATGAGCTTCTCATTTGTCTCAAACATAGACAAGACTTGGAAAGAAAGCAGTTCAAGGTCCTTCTGCAATTGATCCACTGCAATAGAATAACTCCAGCGAGCTTTTTTCAGTGCTGTTTCTGCGGCAATAGCCCTTCTCTCAAGTTCCTCATTCAGAGACTCTAAATTACGCTTGTCCTCAGAAGACCTTAAGAACTGATCATTCATATCTTGGTGCATTGCTTCCATCTGAGCTTTGCAAGAAGAAATTGTGTAGAGGCAATTGGCATGGTCATTTCTGAGGCTCTGCAGCTCTCCCAGCTTCTGCTTTTGACTTTCCTCGAGCTCCTGGACTAAAGCTTCATAGTAGCACTCCATCTGATCCATTTTTCTTGTAAGGCTTTCCCTTTCAGCTTTGGATTCTTCCAACTCTCTAAGAAGCTCACAAATTTTGTCTTTCAACACATTGGTAGACTCAATGGGGTCACATTCCTCACACAACTCCATTGTCCTGCTTAAGGAAGAAGGTATACCCCCAGGATGATACTTATCTACATCAAAGCTGTCCATCTTGTCTCCAGGAACAGGTTGTTCATGTGTCTGTATGCTCACTGCTCCAATCTCGTTTACATCAGCTCTTTCCCCCGGTACTGTATTTAGTACAGAGATTACTTCTGTTGTTCCTTGTCTGAGGTCCTGCAAAATGCATTGCAATGCCTCTAAGTCTGGGTGAAGAAACTCGAAGTCCCTGTCATGATATTTGAGGCATGCCTTGTTTTGAACTTCCCTTACTTTATCCTCCATAACCAAGAGACCCTGAAGCCATCTGATCTGCATATCCTGAAATAAGTGCTTCCAGTCTTTTTCAGTAATTTCCGTCCTGTTAAAATGAGGATGTAGTCTAGAATGTTTTAGATGTTCAAAGTCATCCTTGAACTTCATACACTCCAACTTCAGTATGGAAACTTCTTTGGCCAACTCTTCTCCTGAAGCAATCTCAGCAGCAAGTTGCTGGGCAAACTTTTGTGTTTCAGCACCTAATTCATTGGCATGACTTTGTAAAGAGTTTACTTCCAGCTTAAACTCTAATATAGAAGACTCGGCCACCTCTAAATTTCCTCTCAGTCTGTTATTTTCTTCATAGGCATTTGCCAAGTCATTATCCATAGAATAGTCTGAGCTCCATCCATGAACCCAATCACTGCTTCCCTGTGCCAAGTGCCGATTGTCAGACAGGTCTCCTTTCTCAGGTTGAGGGCTTTGACTAAAGGGAATTCCACATAAATCACCAGACATTGTACTTTTGAGGCTATCCATTTCATGTACACTGGAGGTTTCATGCTTTTCAGCATACAAGCTTTCTGAGGTGTTGGATGAACCATCAATTCCAGCAGCTGAGTCCGCATATTCTTCATTCAACTCCATCTCCTCTTCCAGTAAAGGAAGTTCTTTGGATTCCGACTTGAATCTAACTCTTGCATTTACCTATTTTGAAGCATAAAAGGCAAGAATAAGTTAGAATCCTCACCAACTTGATTATATTATATGAAAAGTGCCAGATGATCCTATAAAAAGCAAAAAGAAGGTAGCAGAAAGCAACTTTTAAAATGATCCATAACCTGGAACTATTCCAAACCATTTCCAACAATGACATTGAGCACGAAGCATAACTAAAGAGTAGTGATCACCTCACCTGTTGGCACCCAGCTAGGTTACCCATCCAATAATTCTGTGAAGGGAAATGGATTACCATTTCCACCAAAAAGCATTTTATTTGACACTTTTAACATTTCTTAAAAGGCTCATTCACAAATCAAAAGGATCTTCATCTTCATCATCCCCAAGGCATGCCTCTAATCCCTCCACCCTATTTATTTGTTTGCTCACTTCTCTCCCCTTCTTGAAGGGTTTGATTGACAATTTTGAGTGTTTTTCTAGTCTAAGGGTGAATTGGAGAAAAAGTGGATTAGTTGGTGTCAATATGGAAGAAGGGGGCATCTTTAGTTTTGATGAGTTATTGGGGTGTGAGGTAAGGAACTGACCCTTAGATTACCTAGGCCTACCACTTGAGGGAAATCCTAGATCAGATGGGTTTTGAAAGCCGGTAGCGGAGAAGTTCGCAAAAAAGATAGCTTTGTGGAAAAGGAATTCTCTCTCTAGGAAGTAGAATAACCCTAATCAAAGCAACTTTGAAAAACCTCCCTACCTACTTCTTGTCCACCTTTCGTATCCCAGCTAGAATTGCAAGACAGCTTGAGAAGTATACGAGTATGAGGGATTTCTTGTGGGATCTGGGAGAAGGAAAAATTCATCTAGTTAAGTGGGAACAAGTCCATAAACCCAAAGAAAAAGGGGGCCTAGGATTAGGGAACTTAACCCTTAGAAACATTCCCTTACTAGGTTAAGTGGTTGTGGAGATTCTCATCTGAAATGTGGTATAAGGTAATTAAAAGCATTCATGGGGTGGAAGAAAGTGGTTGGGGTGTTGATGTAGCCTCCTTTGCAACCTCAGCTTGTCCTTGGAAAGCCATTCATGAGGTATACCCAACATTTTGTAACTTCATTTGCCTTGATGTGGAAAAGGGGAACAAAATATGCTTTTGGGAAGACCTTTGGTTAGGGGGTACACCACTTAAAACACAATTCTCTGAGCTCCTTGCCCTCTCAACTCTAAAAGGTGAAACTGTCTCCAGATTGGGAAGATCTTCCCAAGGTCTAAGTTGGGACTTAGGATTCAGAAGGGGGCCTTAGGGAAAATGAGTGTACCTCTCTTATCAATCTACTTGGACTCTTGGAGACAGTTTTTCTGGATGATAAGCTTGAGGATACTAGAGTCTGGTCAGCCTCCCTTGATGATCTTTTCACTTGTTCTTCTCTTTTTAGAAACCTCATTTTGCCTGCTTCTGTAGGGGTAGATTGCCTAGTTAAAGAGATTTGATGTAAGCCTGTCCCACCTAAAATTCAAGCCTTTTGTTGGGAAACTTTCCTTGGTAAGATTAATATTTGTGATTTGCTATAAAGAAGGCCCAATTGCTGCCTTTCTCCTCATTTGTGCTTTATGTAGAGCTAGTGGTGAATCTCTTTCCCATTTGTTAATTTCTTGTCCTTTTGTGCTCTGTATTTGGGAGTATTTCTGTTATCACTTTGGTTGTAGGTGGGCTCCCCCTCAAGATGTGGTTGGCATTTCCGATACTAACTTCTTGAGGCAACTAAAGAAAAGAGGGAGGATATTATGGCAAGTTACAAAGGCAGCAGAAGTTTGGGTTGTTTGGGAAGAGAAAAACGGGAGAATTTTCAATGGATTAAAAGATCTGAGGTGGTAGTGGGCTGGCTGGAGGAAGAAATTAATGGACTGTGGAACTACAACAACGAAAAGAAGAAGTTCAAGTGGCTGACAAGGGATATTGATGTAAAATTCTCATGGGTTAAAAGATCTGCTAATTATTTTGCAGATAGGTTAGCTAAACAAGGGGTGAATAGGGTTTCTCTTCCCTGGGCTAAATTGTAATTGTTTTTCCCACCTGTTGGGTGGACTTCTTGGATGGGAGTCGGGAGAGTTAAGAAAGTCTATCTCCCCATTCATGTACTGAATCCTTAATTCTGTTAATGGAAAGCCATTTGTTATTGATCAAAAAAATAGGAGAATTTTCAATGATAAGAGTAGATCTCTGGAGGAGGTAATAGACACCATTAAACAAAGGTGGCACATTGGGTAAAAACCTTGGAAAACTTTAAAAGTTTCTCTGTGAATGACTTATTTAGAGCTTAGACAGAAGTGGAAAACTCCTCTAAACAAAAAAAAAAAAAAAAAAAAAAAAACAAGGATGGATTGGAAACCTCCAGAAGGCAACAAAATAAAACTGAACTTTGATGGAAGCTCCTTTGGAAATGTGCCAGGGATAGGTGGTGTGTTTAAGAACTCTGAAAGCAGGACAATGGCTGCTCTATATTCAGGACCTATTGGATTGGGAAACTCCATGCAAGGTCTTTGGCTAGAAAAACAATTGGGTTACAAACAGGTGGAGGTGGAGGTGGAAAGGGGATTCAAAGCCAATTGTCTCATGGGTTAACTATAACAGGAACATTCCATGGACTCTTAGACATGTTTTTAAGGAAGTGGAAAGTATTGCAAAGGACGTCAATGCTGAATTTAAATGGGTGAGAAGGACTGCAAATGGGCTGGCTGATTCCCTGGCTAAGCAAGGGGTTTTGAGGCTGCATTTATTTTGGGTTGCTATTTAATATTGGGTGTAGTCTTTCTGGTTAGCAGTCTTGCCCCTATATGTACAATTCTCACATCTCTTTTATCATAATAAAATTCTCTTTGCTGATAAAAAAAAAAAAAAAAAGATCATGAGATGGTGTGCCAAAAATGAAACAACTAGAGATATTCATCATACAAAATCTCCCCATAATGCCAAAAAGAGCTTTTTTCTTTCCTTCTTTTTTAAGTCTATTAGATCTTTTATATAGTACTGTAGAATTCAAGCCAGTGAATTCTCAAAACTTAAAGTCCCCTTTTGTTAGACACACAGAAACAGTGGATCTACAAATCAAGTAATCAACCCTATAAAGTTCAAATCATTTTGGCAGCTAAGTTATTAATCCAATCATGAAAAATCTCCAGATGAAGGAAAATAACCTTAGCTTTTTTATATAACAAAATCGAGCTCCAAATTTCATTGCTCCTCTTTTTGTTGGTAAAAAATCCATTACTCCTTTATGAAATGAAAATCCTATCTCTTGTGGCATCATGGTAAGTGTTGACTGTAAAGTATGGAAGAAAGTTTTTTAAAGGGTAAAACAGGGAAAGTTAAAAAAAAGGAATATTCTAAAATCATCAAGATACCCTAAAGACCCTCCAGAAGTGCTACCACTCATACTGAGAAAGATCCCTGAACCACAGCTGGCCCCTTTTATTATTCACAGATGGCCCTAAATCTTCTGACATCTTAAAGGAAAGTGACTCCAATTTCCTGAGGCCAAAGCCCAGAATTTGAGGACAAAGAATCGCCCCCCCCCCAATGTTTGTCACTGTGGATATGATAAAAAAGGTCATTTACGTAGACACCCCCTCTAATTTGCAACCGCTTTACTTATCACTATTTTCCTTAGACAGGAGTAGGAAACGGCATTTTTGACCCTAATATCTGTTCGAGCAAATTTAAAAAAAAAATGTCCATTTTGCCCCCATGTTTTGTTTCTAAAAAGATTGATAACTTGATATGAGACTTGCTAGGGATATTTTTGGAATAAAAAACCTGCACTCTTACCCTTTCACATTTTCTACTCGTTTTAAGAGGTCATATGACCATTCCCAAATGAAAATACAAACAGTTCCTGATGGAAGGTCAATTAAGTAAAGTGGTTGAAACTATAGGGGATGTTTTAGTAAGAATGCAAACTATAGGGTAGGTTTTAGTAAATATGTGAATTGTGAAACCTTAAAGGGTGTCTAAGTAAATGACCCATAAAAAACTACAAATTATATTATGAATGGGTTTAGGTTAAAGCACCAAATGGTGAGTAAACTTGATGTAAGAAAAAGTTCAACTGAGCTTTCCATTCACCAAAAACTTGGCAGTACTACTACAGACTACTTATATCTTCATAAAACTATGATAAGAACACTTATGGTTCACAACTGAATTGCTGGATTAATGTACAATAGTTAAAGTTCTAATAGGCTAAGCGACTAACAGAGAGGGGGAGAAATAGGATAAGAACTAAAGACTTCTTCCTAGAAAAATGGAATATGAGAAATAGAGATTGTTCCAAAATAACCACACTTGCAAGCCTTGCATACTCACAAAAACTAGTTGATGATTTTTAATGGAATACTGTGTCTAATATCTGATTTTGCACGTATGCCCATACATGAAGATTTAAGTACTGTACTCTTAATGTTAGCATTCTCTTTAAGAAAATAACATGAATATCTATGTATAATAGAACATAAAGATTCTCCTTTATCAGCTAATACTCTTCTCTATCAGTGAAAGAAGATTCTCCAATTACAATGCCATTGATAAAAGACACCATCTTGTTGTATTACACACTTCAGCACAAAGACTAAATCTTGAGCACATGTTCAACCACTTTAGTCAAGATAGTATGGACGTAGTTATTCTACAGTCTGGACCATGGCCCCCTTCCTTTTAAAAAATTGCAACCAGATTATAAAATCAAAGTAAATCCCAACTGCTCCCTGTAACTAAGTGAAGGTTTTCTAAGAAGTTTCTAATTGAGAGAATAGCACCCCGTAGGATGTATTACTTCGGCAACAAGATATAACTATCTTGCAATAGAAAACCTTTGAAGAGATCATGTTAGCTCTGTTTTTCTTATTTTTATGCATACTATAACTTTTTACAAACTTATCATGAAAAAAGATTTAGCCCAACAATAAATTGTACAAAATCTGCAAACTATTATATAAGAACCTGAAAAAAGTAATTGGAGTCACAACATACTATGAATTAAGTGTTTATCAATAAAGAGAGGACAGCTAAATAGAGTTATCTTAATGTTCTTTTTTTATGAGTAGCTATCTTAATGTTCATCAAGAAAATAAAAATGGAGGTTTTTGAGGAGTTCTATATGATAAGACGAATCAACCCAGGGATGAATGCCACATTCATAGCTTGATATGGAAAAAAAATAAATAAATAGGTGAGGCTTGTCACCCTAGATATTTTGGACCAATTAACTTGATTGGAAGTCTCTAAAGTAATTGGCAACTCAACTTAAAAAGGTACTCCCATCATTAATCTCACAAAATTAAGGAGTATTTAGCCAAGGTAGACAAATCACAAACCAATTTTTAATAGCCAATCAATGTTTGCAAGAGCTACAGACCAATTTTTATTTTCTAATTGGTTAGTCCTTATTTCTTAGATTACACCCTGCTGCACTTTATCATTCTTTTTTATTTGATATGAACTAGCCTCCTCCTACTACTCCTCTTAGCCTTTTTCTGTTTTGTCTTCCTTAGTCTGAAACAAGGGCTCCCCCACCCTTCTCTTTCTGCCTTTTTGCTTATTCTACTTCTTCTCTTGGACTGTGTTAGAGGAATAAAAACCTACGCAGGGACCTCACCTAACAGTTTAATCTTTTAGGTTGAATGGTTCCTTGAGATGGTATCAAAGCCTGTTTCACCAAGTGGTCTAGTGTTCAATCCTCGCTGCCCCCATTATAATTAATTAAATTTGAGGACAAGGTATGGGTGGACCTGTGCTTTTCCACGCTTCAAGCCCAATAGGCTTTCATGTGAGGGGGCATGTTAGAGGAATAAAAACCTATTTAGGGACCTCACCCAACAGTTTAAGCTTTTACGTTGAACAGCTCCTAGGGGACTCGATTTTTTTTTTTTTTTTGAATTAAAATATGAGAGAAATCGAAAAACATCAGCCCATGTACAATGAGAGCCTGTACATTGGGAATATACAAAAAGATTCAATGAAAGAAAGGTCTAGCTTGCAAAAAAGAGAAAAGCTGGACACCCATGAATGCCCTTTGTACACTTAACTAGAACACAAAAAGCCTACAACCTTGTTTCTAACTGAAATTACATCAGAATAATATTCAGCTGTTTCTTTCCTTCCAAAGAGCCCATAGCCATAGGATGGCAGAAGGAAAAATCCTCCAAAGCAGTTTGCCCCTAGTATTCAAACCCTTGAGGGACCACCCTTGCAGAAGGGGACTCGATTTTTATTTGCTTGACGAATATTAAAAATTGAGGTTTTCAAGGTGGAAGGGGACTCAAAAGTGGTGTGATGGCTGAAAATGACAGCCAACAAAATTGGCAACATAGATACATTGAGAGAAATAAAACATCCAGCAAGGGAACTAATAGATACTTATCTTTAGATCCATAGATTAGCAGCATGTTGGTTCAGTAGCAAGGCGAGGGTTAAACAGGGAAAATTTGTATTGGGGGATATCAATTTTTTTTTTTTTTGTAAGTGGGTATCACTTAATGTTGCATGTAAGACTACAACTACAAGTATGAAGTCAGTTAGTGATAGCTAACAGGTAACTTAACAGAAGGGGCCAATCCTCATTGCACGTAGCAATCTTTTGTTATTTATCAATAAAGTTTCCACATTAACAATCAAAAAATATATATCATTCAGAACTTTTTGATGTGCAAGGGAAAAAAGTTGCCAAAAACACATGTAACATTTTCAATTTCATCTTGTAGATAAAGGTAACCATCCATCATGAGAAAAATTACAGAGAGCCAGAGAACTAGGGCATATAGGCAGTAATAAACCTTGTCTGTTTGGTCATTGACCATCTCTGCAGATGCTGGTAATTTTTCAGCATGCTCATCATGAATGTTCTGATTGCCAGTTATTTGCAGCCCCTTCTCTCTTAGCCTCCTCTGCTGCTCAAATTCTCTGAGGACCGATCAGACCCAAGATAAGTTGGTTTACATAATAACAATAAACAAGTAATTGATAAGGTTTTATAAAGTACCTGAACCCAGTTTTAGAAGTAAGCAGCTGGACTGTGACCTGGAATCAAATAGTAAATCACCAAACCATGGATCAGGGGAAATTATGATTATCCTATTAGAAATAGCTAAAAATCTCAGCTAAGGTTAAATATGAAAATAGAAAAATGAACAAATGAAGAAAAATCTAAGGTGGAATTCTTTTCTTTTTCCTTTTATTGATATGCAAACAGAACTAAAACACAAGACTCACCTTGTTGAAACCATATGCAAATTGAATCCCTTGTAAGTATATGATTATCATAAAGAGGATTAAATCAACAAACCATGAAAGTATATTGTCACCATGAAATATCTAGGAAACAGAGTAAGACTCACATGTAGCATAGTTCCAGAGCTGCATCCTTGAAGAGGCAGTGCAACAGCATAAGGCTTTGATGCATCTGCATAATCAGCAAGGTTGATGTAAGCCTCACCAAGGAGGCTAGATCGAGAAGAACCCTGAAATCAATGAAATTCATGCCAATATAATTGTTCGTATCAGCTAGGGAACACCAAATATACTGATATTTTCAATTGTAGCATGAACAGCAAGAAAGAGAAAAACATAAATTAGAGGTATAGAAATAATTTGCATTACAGTCAAGTCATTACACAATTAAGAAAGAAATGCAGTAGTTAGAAGGACTATACCATAGCCACAACAAGCTTATACAGCTTTTCATCATACTGTTTGGTTCTGGCATCATGGAGAAGTCTTGTGGTCTCATAAATGGGATCTGCCCATTTGCAAGTGCCATTTCTCACATTTGCTTTGTTTGTTTTTGCTGTCACCTTTTCCGAATCAGCAGGGATGAAAGATATAAACAATTTATCCCATCCAGTCTGTGGAACCTGAACAGGATCAAAAAGACATCAAAGGTTTCTTGCAGTCATTGGAGAGATAAAAGGTTGCATGTATGGATAAAACATTATTTTTCCCAAGATTGCTGAATATATGCAGTTAGGGACATGACATCATTCCTGAACTTTTAGAAAGTGTATCATGACAATGATATTTATTAGCTCACAATGAAATATATGGTTTTGGGCTGGATGTTGAAGGGGATTCCATGCTGAACGTGGGCTGGATCTGGATGAATTATAATCAAGGGAATTGCATATACAGCAAGCTATGAGAGAAATCAGATAATTAGCAAGAATGGAAGAGGCCACTTTCAGATAGGTTAATAGATAAGCAAACAGTTTGGCTGGTACCTTGGCCAAACAAGGGGTATTTAGGGAACAACATTTTTGGGCTTCATTGTATAATTGATGTGGTAAAGGGGTGGCTCTTCAGAATCCTACGTTGTAAATCCACTCTTGTTTATCCATATACCTATAACAAAAAGAACAGATTCACGTTCTTTGTTACAAGGTCTTTCGTCCATGATCATATTTTCGTTGATACACTCCAAAAGCCCAGGCACTACAGATATATATACAAGTAATAGTAGCTTAAGATACCATGATCAGTTATTTCTAGAACTTAATCCCTGACTATTTGTTTTATAAGATAGCCATTGGGCAATTGTTATGTAGGCAAGAGAATATTATTATCATCATCTATGCCTTGTCCCAGCTATATGGGGTCAGCTACATGAATCCTATAATCCTGTTCTGCCATTCCATTCTGTTCAGTGTCATATCCAATGTTAAATTATGGGTCCTCAAATCAGTTCTCACTACTTCAACCCATGTCCTTTCTGGTTCTGTGGCTTCTGCCCCTAGCTCTTCTTGCCCCTTCAACATGTAACAGATCACTTCTTACTGGTCAGAAATAGAACCCATAACAGGATAGGATGCGAAGGGGTTTGTAACAATAAGGATGCAAAAATCTTAAGCAGAGGAAAACCTAGGGTTTATGGACCAATTCGTTTGACTATAAATAAATCATTAAGATTTGAGAGGAAGAGTTAGATTTAGATATAGAGAATTGGGTTTTAAGGATGAATCTTAGGCCAGTTACAGTTGAAATAAGACCTCAATTATTAAGAAATAGCATGGTAAATGCCAAAAAAGGGTGAAAGAAAAGAAGTATACACTAACTGATGATGACCTAGCGTAAAAAACCACTACTCCACTAGTTTAACGACAGAATGGCTCCTCATTGAAGAAAAAGGATCTAAATTTCAAACCACTCAATTTATGGAACTAGAGTAACTGCATCATTCATGTAGAAATATTTTAAAAAGGACAATGTTGCAAAGGCCAAGAAGTCAGTAACTCGTGCAAAAGAACTCAACCATGCAATCCTGTGGAACTTTGAATTTGTCTTGAGTACAAAAATGGCAATTCACGGAGTGGGTATGATTCTCTTTAGGCTGATCAAATCCAGTTGTCTTGGGCTGACAGACGAGCTCCTTCTACAGATTTACTTTGCTTAAGTTAAACCATCTCAATTACCCACAAAATGTCATGGTTCAGCATTCTGGCACAAAAGCTTTCTCTGCTCCCTTGGCAGATGACAACAAATTCAGATAAAGATAGAACCTTAAGAATAGAACCTTTTTATTGATAACAGCAGGAACAGTTTTATTAAGTGGAGTTGAGGAAATTACAATGGTTAAATGCCTTGCACTCCTTTTGAGTCAAGCCTCAGCTAATACCCCTTATTTTACAAAATCCCTCATTTGATACAGTACCTGAAAACATTCAATTCCTGTTGACCCCTGACTTTGCCAATCTACCTGCTAAGGAGTTGGCCAACCTTGTAGTGTTGTAACTGCTTATTACACTAGGTCATAATTAGTTATAAAGCTATTCTAACTTGAACTTTGAAAGTTCAAAGAAGATTAGTTGAATATATAAAGATTTCTGAACTTTTAGAACCCAACAAGAAATAAAGTCCAGAAGGGCTTAATAATATATGTGGAAATCTATGATGCCAGAAAGGTATGATAACGGAAGAGCTTTGACTAATCAAAGCCCTTCCATGAATTTTGATGAAAACTAACTGATTGGTGATGTGGGCGCCGGCAGCAGCAGCAGAATTTAGTGCAGCAGCAGCAGTAATTTAGTGTTCTCAGCAGCAGCAATTTAGTGTTCTCATCCTATCTTATCTATTCAGTATTCTTACCTTATC